GAGGGGGGCAAGAGGGCGAGGTTGTAGTGTGGAGCTGGTCTACGGAGAGATGAAGAGGATGAAGCACGGGGCGGCCAGGCACGACGGGCGCGGTGAAATCGGGGGCGCGGAAACGAGGAACCTCTTCCCAGCAGAAAGAAAGAAAACAAATAAAAGAAAGAAAGAAAACAGACAACCCAAGGGAGGGATGGGAGAAAAGAAAACAGAGCGCTTTGATTTCTTTATGTGTGTCCCATAGCTGCCTCGAGTCCCGGCGCTCCGCCACCGCCGATCTCACCCCCGCCCACAACCGAGCGAATGGCGCCGGGCTGGGGGGACGACGAGGCCCAGGGCGACGCGAACTTTGACCTGCCTCCCCGGTGCGCCCTCTCTGCGCGCCGCCTGCCTCTCTCCCTGCGCCGCCGCTGCGTGGACGCGGCGCGCTGGCCCGTCGCGGCCGCCGCCTGACCCGCCTGGCGCCGCGGCTCAGGTTCGAGACCGACGTCGACGTCAACGGCGTCAAGACCATCACGACCGTCCGGACCAACGACATGGGCCAAAAGATCAAGACGGAGCGGACGGTCAAGGTGACCAAGACGACGGTCAAGATCCCAAAGGCGGTGCTGGAGCGGCGCAAGTGGAACAAGTTTGGGGCGGAGAAGCACAAGCCCGCAGGGTACCACGGGCGCGGCCACGTCAGCGAGTGGGTGACGCTCGACGTGAACGAGCAGCTGCTCGACATGAAGCCAAAGCAGGTGGTGGCGGAGGAGCGGAACGAGTCTGCGGAGCGCGCCTTCGAGAAGATGAACGCGGGCACCTTTGAGGCGTGGCGGCCAAAGAACCGCGGCGACGCCGTCAACGACGTTGCCAACCGGATGGGGCACCACGACCACGGCGGGCCGGGCGGCGGCGGCCTCGCCGCGCTGGCCGAGGGCGGCGGGCGCGGCGGATACGTGCCGCCGAGCTTGCGCAACGCGGACGGCTCGCGCAACGCGGAGCTCGCGCAGCGCGACGACTCGTGCACCGTCCGCGTCTCGAATCTCTCCGAGGACGTCAAGGACTCGGACCTGCGCGAGCTCTTCCGCCGCTTCGGGGGCATCCAGCGCATCTACCTCGCGAAGGACAAGGAGACGCACCAGTCGCGCGGGTTCGCCTTCATCAACTTTTACAACCGCGAGGACGCCGCCCAGGCCATCGCGACGCTCGACGGCCACGGGTACGACCACCTCATCCTCTCCGTCTCGTGGGCCAACCCGACCGCCCAGGCGCCGCAGCAGGCGCCGCCCTCGGGCCTTGGCGCCTTCCCCGCGCTGGGGAGCGGCGCCGGCGGCGGCGGCGCGCGCGACCCGAGCGGCAGGCCGCTCTTTGGCGCGCGGGCCGGCGGCGCGCCGAGCAGGGGCGACGCGGGCATGGAGCAAAAGTACGACAACCACATCCACAGCAGCTCGCTCGACCGCTTCCGCTGATGCCGCATGGCCGCCGCGCTCGCCTAGGCTCCCCGCTGCCGGGCGCTGCGCTCCCTCTCTGTGCATGCAGTACAGCCGCGGTGCGCAGGCTCCTCGTGTGCGTGGTACAGCGCGTCGGGACGCTCACGCGCCCGAGTGTGTGCGCCGGCTGGTGTGTGCGGTGTGTGGAGCGGCACCGCGCGGCGCCAAGGATCGATCTAGAAATCGTAGTAAAAACCGCTCAAAATCAAATATATATCAAAATAAGAGGCATGGACAAACCAGACACCATTATGTTATATCATAGGATATAACATACTGAGATACCACGGCCTCCACCCCCCCCCCCCCCCGCCCCGCGCTCGCCCCGCTCTCGGCCTCGGGCATATCAGCTCCTGCCTCCTCTCAAGAAAACGTCTGACTTCTAGGAGGAGGAGCTCTGTATTCTGCTTTTTCGCCACATCCCACAGAAAACATCCGGCCATGGGAATATCGGTCCAGACGCTCTGGGTTCTGGTTTTTCGAGGTGTGAACGATCTCTCCCGGGAGGGGTCATTCCGGCGGAATGACCCCTTCATTAACTCATCGGATTCCGAATGGGTCGAACGGGAGTACTAAGACAGCAGCATGTTCTGGGTGGGAGGAACCCTTGGGGGGGACGCGGTGGTCTGGTTTCTGGTTTCTGGGTTTTCGATATAGCAGGGGTTTTATCGAAATATCGCGCGATAGATGAGCCCACCGGCATTATGGTTTCTGGTTTTTGCTCCGAAAGCGAGGTTGGCGACGCGCCGCGCTGCCACGCACTTTTGTGGCTCACGGGAGGGAGGCCTGCGATGCGGTCGGGTCCGCCAGGCTGCCGCGATCCCGAGCGGAAACGCCGTGGCTGCCTCATGCATCGGACGCCGACCGGCGGGGCCGTTGCTTGTCATGCCCAAGCCCTGAAAGGCTGAGCTGTGAAAGGCGGGCGTTGTGCGAGTGTTTTAAGTACCTATCACCTATCAATAGTGTGTTTGGATCTACTCTGTTGGAGACAGAAATAAGCTCTATCACAACGTCGGCGGAGCGGCCAATGCGCGCGGCGATCTTGAGGGCACCACCAGGAGCTGGCAAGGCCTCATCGCACGCTACCACACGTGCCGATCCGTGCCGAGATTTACCCGCACCCGGCGTTGACAACCTCAGCTTGCAACACTCATCACCAGTCGCACATGTGCGACCAATCGGAGCAGAAACCAGAAACCAGAGAGATGTTCCGTTTGAAAAAAAATCGAAACGGGGAACACCTGTTCATTGGTCGGAATGAGCTCATACAAGATACATTAGGCCGAAGCGGGAGATGTATTCACACCGCAGAAACCAGACCCACGGCAGATCCCACGGGAAATCGAGGCGGGTGTCCCCGAAAACAGATCCGAGAAAAAACAGAGCGCGCCGCAGACACCGACCGACCCGTGGGTTTTCGGCGATGGGAAACCGTCGTGGGAAACCGCCCGGGGGCATCAGAAACCCTATGGCAGGGAAAAACTGTTCCCGGGCATTCACACTATATTCCTCTGAGATAATATTATATTTCGCCGCCACCGCGGCGCGCGCGCTTAGAGTTCTTCGGCGCCATGCTAGCCGCCAAGGAGGTGATTTTCATCCGTGAGCTACTGATCGACCTTGGATTTTCCATCGACGGCGCCAGCGTCATCAACTGCGACAGCAAGTCCGCCGTCGGCATGGCCTTCGATCCCGTTGCCTTCAAGAAGACCAAGCACATCTTGCGCGCCGCCGAGTTTCTTCGCGATCTCGTCAGCCGTGGCGTTATCTCTGTCGAACACCTCCCCGGCGTCGTGATGCTCGCCGACCTACTCACGAAGGCTGCCTCGCGGGCCATCTTTACTGGCCTGATCAAGCAGCTCGACGACTTTCATGCCCTTTGAATTTATTTGTCCCTCGCGCCCCGCACTCGGGCCAGGAGGGGCTGTTCCCGGGCATTCACACTATATTCCTCTGAGATAATATTATATTTCGCCGCCACCGCGGCGCGCGCGCTTTATCCGCGCGCTATATTAGTAGAGCCAAACTTGTGTTCTTGTTTTGGATCAAACTTGTTACAGCTCAGCGAACGCGATGCGGCCTCTGCCTAGCCTCCTGCTCCTATGCGCGAGCTATGGCGTGACCGCTATCGAGTAAAAACCGAGGTCTGGTGTGTCTCTCTGCTCGACTCTGCTTTGCTTAATTAATCCACGAATGCAAAATAAACGAACGGGGGGCGGCGCGCGGGAGCCCGCCGTGCGCGCGCTCTCTGCTCTCTCTCGCAGGCGCCCCCCCCCCCCGCTGCGCCGCTGCCGCGGGGGCGGCGGGAGAGGTCAGAGGAGGGCGCGGCACGCCGCCCCCCGCGGCGCGCGGCTGCGCGGCCGGGCTGGCCGCGCGCCCCCGCGGGCGAAGTGGCGGGGGCGCCGGCCTCGGACACACAGATCGCAGTCAGCTCAGTAGACACGTATCTAGGGCTAGACAGTACCGCGTTGCGGACAGGCACACGCACGCCTGTCACACGTGTCAATCGCGGTGCATGTTTTGCAGCCTGACAAAACCGCGCTGCAGCGGGTGCTCCACCGCTGGCAGCGTCTCAAACTCGGGGTCGGGCATGACGTTCGACTTGGTCATCGGCAGCCTTGACAGGCAGGTGCAGGGGCACGCGCCGTACTCGCCGATGGCCTCGCAGCACGGCGACCAGTCGGCGCAGCAGCAGGGGCAGCAGCCCGCCCAGGTGACGCAGGGCGTGCAGGGGCAGACCGGCCCGCCCGAGACGCAGTCCAGCATGCACGACATGATCGGCGTCATTATTCCGCCGACGCACCTCTCGCAGCACTTGGGCCCCGTCGCATCCGGGTTGAAGGTGCCCATGTACTGGCCCTGCGGGTTGACGCGGCGGGCCCACTCGAGGTACTCGGCGTAGTAGGGCGTCTTGTCGCCATTCTCGTCGACGATCTGGATCACGGGGTACTGCGTCGCGCCCCACACGCCCCCATTCTTGAGGCCGTAGTAGAAGGGCGGCGGCAGCACCCCTTTCAGCTCGGCCCACTGCTCCGCCGAGAGGTCCTTGCCCGCGCCCTCGATGGTGTGGGTTGTTCGGACCCACCCATAGGGGCGCCACTGCATCCGCATCTCGAAGAGGGGCGCGGTGTTGACGAACTTGTCGCCCGCTGCCATGTCGAGGATCATCTCGAGCCCCTCGGGGTTGAGCTTCTCGTCCTTGATCTCGTCGCGCACGTTGAAGCGAAAGTCAGAGTTCATGCGCAGGCCCCACGTGACGTTGACCGAGGTGTAGCCGATGAACGTGTCGGGGAAGCAGCAGCACTTGAGCAGCGGGTCCACGCAGCAGCAGGCGCCGTAGATGCCAGACGCCATGTACTTCCCGAACGTCCAGTGGCCGCGCCTGCCGCCGCCGTTGGGGACGTACCTGAGCGTGCCGAGCGGGTTTGGCCGCCCGTCGGGCAGCGTCGCCTGCTTCTCGTGCGAAACCCACTCCGCGGGCCAGTCGCCAAAGGCGGCGAGCGTCTCGGTCGACTGCGTGTTCCACCGCCACGACCACAGCTTGTTTTTGCCTTGGCCCGTGAAGAGCCCATTGTCCGGGCCGGTGAAGGCTGCGGTCTTGCCGATGGAACTCTGAAGGAACTGGTCGATCCAGAAGATGCCGCGGAGAGAGCTGGGCAGCCCCACGAGAGCGTCGGGCAGAGTCGAGTCGGCGCCCGCCCAAGCCATCCTCTCGATGACCTTGTCGTTTGGCACGAGGTCGTAGTGGAGGGTCTGGTCTGCCCACTCGCTGGGCGGCAGCGCCGTCACGCCGCGAGCCTTCTGCCGCTCGCGCTCCATGCGCACGTACGCATGGTCCGGCGGCTTGGTCAAAGGCTTCTTGGGGTCGATGGCCATGCCTAAGGTGGTGGAGGCGGCACGCGGCTTGGTCAAAGGCTTCTTGGGGTCGAGGGCCATGCCTAAGGTGGTGCGCCCCGGGGGAAGGAGGCGTTGAAAAGATTAAAAAAAATGGTGCCAGCTGGGAATAGGAGCGCCGCAAGCGGCGTGGCGTGGGGCGGTTGCGTGCGAGCCCCGCAGAGGTGCGGGCGAGAGGGCGGCCCGAGCCCGAAAGGGCCCGCCCTCGGCGTTGCTCTACATGGTAACGGTTAAGAAGAGAAACACCCCCGGACTGGGACGCCGGCAGTCGAGTCGGGACACGCTGTGGTTCAGACGTCCCCCCCCTCGACGCAGTCGAGTCACTGACATGAATAGGGAGGAGAAAGTGTCCCCCACATATCACCACAGACGCAGCACAGGGGCTCCAATCCTGTCCCAGCCTGGGGGGCCTCGCTAGATCTCCAGTGGGGAGTGCGAGGGCTGGATCGACTGCAGTGTGGGTTGTGGACCGTCGGGATAGCGTGTGGCGTAGATGTTCTCCTGGAAGTAGAGAGGCCGATGTCTCTCGCCCTGCAGGAAGGAGAAACTCGGATGGTTGAGTGAAAACTCCTCCCTGCGGTATGTGCGCAGAACGGGTTGCGCTATGTGCAGCACGGTGTTGAGGGCTCGGGAGGGCAACGACGGCGGCGTTGCCGAGCTCGTACAGGGGCCTCAATCCTGTCCCTGATGGGGTGCGCCTCTCGCTGCGCGCGTAGCAGTCGGCGCGCGGGTAGCCTCAGAGATGCGCAGAGCGAGATGCGGTTATCGGCGAACCAAGCCCTGGGCTTGGATAGGGCGCGGCGTAGCCGCGGCGCAGTGGATAGCGTGAAGAGCCCACTCACTGTCGTGAGCAGACCGCCGCTACCACGTGCGAGCCCCGCAGAGGTGCGGGCGAGAGGGCGGCCCGAGCCCGAAAGGGCCCGCCCTCGGCGTTGCTCTACATGGTAACGGATAAGAAGAGAAACACCCCCGGACTGGGACGCCGGCAGTCGAGTCGGGACACGCTGTGGTTCAGACGGGTTGAGCATCCCTCCGGGGGCCCCTCTGCGCCGGGGAGGCGTTGTTGGAGGCTAGGACGCAAGCGTCCGTCGCCTTTTTCAAACTCGGGGCCCACTCCGCTGAATGAACAAGTGAGTGTTAGATTTGTTTGGTATTGCTAAACATCGCAAACCCTGTCAGCAGTTCACCCTCATTTCGTCCGTCCAATCGAAGGAAGCGCCGGATCGCCCATGTTAGTTATGGAGTTAGCCAAACTTAGTTCTTCGTCCGACGTTCCGTGGTTTTTGCACGGTATTCGGATTTTTGCTATTTGGTCGTGTGGGTGTGTATTCCGGGATTAGTCAATGGTACCGCGTCGGCGACGCGGGCGCCTTGCTTGCGGGCAGAGCCCTTAGCCACCCTTTGTTTGTCTTGCGCGGTCAAAAAAGAAGCACCTCTCGAGCTGCGCGCTCCCGACAGGTGTTGCCCTCGCGAGCTGGGGATGCTCCCTCATGATTGTCCGGTGGCTGCTGCTTCCCTTCTCTCCCTGCTGCGGCCGCTGCCGGCTGCGCCCGCGCTGCTGCCGGCCGCCACCCGCCGCTGCCGCCGCTGCTGCTGTCGAGCCGGCTCGAGACGCCGCGGTGGCGTCCGCGGCCGCCGCTGCATGAATGCCCTTCGACACGGGCGATGCTCACGAGAGCGCCTCCGCGGGAAGCAGCTCTGGCTGCTCTGGCCAGAGCTCTTCCAGAGCAGCCATAGCTGCGGAGCGGAGGTGGGGAAGGCCGCCAAGTGGGCCAGCACAGGTCGCACATTGTGGCAGCAGTCAGCAGTGCATGTCTGATAGCTAGAGCAGCAGCGTCAGGGTCGCAGGGTCGGATCGTGTCAAGCCTCTCGCCCGGCCGGCCGCGTGCAGACGTCGGCCTGTCTGCTGTCTGTCTGGAGTGATCTGTCGGAGACGGTCAGTACGACCGATCAGGTTGGAGGTTACTGATGATTGGAGGGTGTCTATCTGTATGTACTCCTCGAGATCTCTCCAAATCTACCCTCTGTGCTCTGTTAGACCGGGTTAGATCGGGAAGTCGGGTGCTCTGTCTGAGCGACTCTGAGCGCCGGGGCCCCGTTTCCGCACTGCGGCGCGGCGCACGGTGCCTCCGGGGGCCCCCGCGCCCCCCCAGAGGTCGGAGCGTAGCGGAGTGGGCCCCGAGTTTGAAAAGGGCGACGGACGCTTGCGTCCTAGCCTCCAACAACGCCTCCCCGGCGCAGAGGGGCCCCCGGAGGGATGCACAACCGCTCCACACCACGCCGCTTGCGGCGGTCCTATTTATAAGCGAAATCAAAAAGAAATAAAAAGAGAAGTAAATGGAAAAAGAAAACGCGCGCCCTCGAGACGGCGCTGCCAGCCACTGCCAGCCCCGACACCCCTGCCCGCTGTGCGAGCCCGCCTCGCCACCCCTCCTCTCGCCCCGCTCCTAGGCGCGCGCACTCGCAGCCGCGGCGTCGCGATGGACCGGATCCAGCGCCTGTTCCAGACGCAGGCGGCGGCGGGCGGCGCGGGCGCGCCCGAGGCTCCCGTCGTCGACACCGCCGAGATGGTCTACATCTCATCGATGGCGCTGCTCAAGATGCTCAAGCACGGGTGCGCCGCCCCGATTCCGCGCCCTCCCGCCCACGTGCGCCGCCGGCGCTCCCTCCCTCGCCGCTCACCCGTGCGCGCGGCGGCCGGCGCAGGCGCGCGGGCGTGCCGATGGAGGTGATGGGGCTGATGCTGGGCGAGTTTGTGGACGACTACACGGTCAAGTGTGTGGACGTGTTTGCGATGCCGCAGAGCGGCACCGGCGTGAGCGTCGAGGCGGTCGACCCGGTCTTCCAGACCAAGATGCTCGACATGCTCAAGCAGACGGGCCGGCCCGAGATGGTCGTGGGGTGGTACCACTCGCACCCGGGCTTCGGGTGCTGGCTGTCGGGCGTCGACATCAACACGCAGCAGAGCTTCGAGGCGCTCAACCAGCGCGCGGTCGCGGTGGTGGTGGACCCGATCCAGTCCGTCAAGGGCAAGGTCGTGATCGACTGCTTCCGCTCCATCAACCCGCAGCTCATCATGCTGGGGCAGGAGCCGCGGCAGACGACGTCCAACATCGGACACCTGCACAAGCCGTCCATCCAGGCGCTCATCCACGGGCTCAACCGGCACTACTACTCGATCGCCCTCTCGTACCGCAAGAACGAGCTCGAGCAGCAGATGCTGATGAACCTGCACAAGAAGAACTGGACCGACGGCCTGCGCGTCTCCGACTACGAGAAGCACTCGGAGGAGAACCGCAAGTGCGTCACCGAGCTGACCGAGCTCTCCGCCGCGTACGAGAAGGCCGTCAAGCAGGAGATCGAGCTCTCCGCCGAGCAGCTCGTCGTCGCCACCGTCGGAAAGGTGGACGCCAAGCGGCGAATCGAGGAGTCCGTCGTCAAGCTGATGAGCGCAAACATCGTCCACTGCCTCGGCACCATGCTCGACACCGTCGTCTTCTAAGGGCGCCCGGGCGCGCCGGAGGGGAGCGGTTCTGTTATAACTTTCGCGGCTCCCGGCTGGCCGCGCCGGGCCGCCGGCCGCGCGAGCGTGTCCGCGTGTGTTTCTACACTTTTTTGAGCTACGTTATCAACTCAAAGGGTTATTATCTTTTGTCTGAGTGTGAGGAAGCCCGATTCCGCGCCGCCGCCGGCCAGCACACCGCGCGCGCGACGGCCCCGAGCGCGCCCCGGACCCCGCGCGACGCCGCCCGCGGACGGCGGTCGCGGGTCGGCGGAGAGTCTCCGGAGAGCGCGACGCAGCGACCCCCCCCCCCGCCGCCGCCGCCGCCGCCGCCGCCGAGTGCGAGTCCCAAGAGACCGTAAAACGAAAAAAATCGATGGCCCCAGGGGCCCAGCGCGCACCGCCACCGGCCACCGCGGGGAGCCGCGCGCATGCCCGTTTAGCGTTTTATTTGTTTTCAGTAGTTGTGTTGCCGGACGGAAGTTGTCGGAAGAGCGCCGCAGCGGGGAGGCCGGAGCGTAGTAGAGGTGTCCGTTTGTATTTATTTATTTAAAGAGCGGGGGGAAGGGGCAGAGATATCAGAGGACGTTACCGAGCGCGGATGGGGCTGGCGGCTGCATTCATGACACATGAGTGTGGTGCTGGTGGGGCGGAGGCGTGGCAGGTGGACGCACCTGACGTCCTGCCTCCGCAAACGACGAGCGAGTAGCCGGCGCGGCCCCTAGTCCTGCGAGGGCGGGAGAATGCTCCCCCTGGGCCACCTCGAGTGCCCACGCCGTGAGGCGCTGTGTGCTGTCAAGGGGTGTATCACCGCCGTATTCCAACCCCCCCCCCCCCCACACACACATGGACATGGACATGAACATGGACATGGACATGGACATGGACATGGAGGACATCCGCGAGGGGCGAGGGGACCGGCGGGCTGACGCGCGCAAGCACACAAGGTGGCTTGGGCACCCGTGGGGCGGCTCTATCCGTCGCAGGCAGCACAGAAAGAAAGAAAGAAAACAGACAACCCAAGGGAGGGATGGGAGGACGGCACGCCGCCACCACACAGGGATTTTAAGGAGAGGTGTGTGGTGCGCTATCCGTCGCCAGGCAGCCTCGTCGCGCCACCGAGCGCGTGATCGAGTCGATCGCCGCGCACATGGACGCGGAGGCGGATCGGCGAGTGTGGCGCCAGCACCACATCCAGCTGCTCACGTTTCTCCTGCAGAGGGGCCGCTGCGACGAGGTCCTCGCCAGGCCGGCGCCGGAGGAGGGGGCGCCGTCCGTCGCGCCAGAGCTCGAGTCGGAGTACCAGCGGCGGCGCGTCGCCAACCAGTGCGTCGCGGTGCTCTACTACCTGGAGGAGGTCGAGGCGGAGGTCAAGAAGGGGCCCGTTCAGAAGGGTTGGTCGGTGCGATGCGCCACGCGCGCAGGTGATAGCCCCCAGGTGCTCAGCGATTGCTGGGACTTTGCGCATGAGACCACGGCGCTGCAGGAGGCCTTCCGCGCGCGAGGCCACATTCTCCTCATGTGCGTCAGGGGCCACCCCGAGCTGGCCG